GAAAAAAAAAAAACAAAACAAAACATAGAAGACACCAGAGAAACCCTCACTACAGACATAGAAGACCTAAAAAACTAGTCAGGGTGAACTAAAAAATGCTATAATTGAGATACAGAATCAACTGGATGTAATCACAAAGAGGATGGAAGAAGCAAAGGAATGAACTGGTGGTATAGAAGATAAAATTATGGAAAATACTGAAGCTAAAAAGAAGAGGGAAAGAAAACTATTAGATCACAAACATAGACTTAAGGAACAAGCAATTCCATAGAATGCAATAATATCCATATCATAGAAGTTCCAGAAGAAGAAAAGCAGGTAAAGGGGGAAGAAGGTTTATTTGAACAAATTATGGCTGAAGCTTCCTAATCTGGGGAAAGAAACAGGCATTCAAGTCCAGGAGGTACAGAGAACTCCCCTCAAAATCAACAAAAACAGGTCAACACCAAGACATATCATAGTGAAACGTGCAAAATACAAAGATAAAAAGAAAATTCTGAAAGCAGCTAGTGACAAAAGTTCCTTAACCTACAAGGGTAAAGACATAAGGTTAGCAGCAGACCTGTCCACAGAAACATGACAGGCTGGAAGAAAGTGGCAATGGTATATTCAACATGCTAAATGGGAAAAATATGCAGCCAGGAATACTTTATCTAGCAACACTATCATTCAGAATAGGACAGATAAAGAGATTACCTGACAAGCAAAAACTAAAGGAATTCGTGAACACTAACTACCACTGTTAGAAATATTAAAGGGAACACTTTGAGCAAAAAAAGAGACCAAAAGCAACAACGACTAGAAAGGAATAGAGACAATCTACAGGAACAATGACTTTACAGGTAATACAATGGCACTAAATTCATATCTATCAATAAATACTCTGAATGTAAATAGACTAAATGATCCAATCAAAAGACAAAGCATATTAGAATGGATTAAAATAAGAAAACAAGACTTATCTATATGCTGCCTACAAGAGATTTATTTTAGACCTAAAGACACCTGCAGATTGAAAGGGAGGGGATAGGGAAGGATTTATCATGCTAATGGACATCAAAAGAAAGCTGGGGTAGTAAACTTTATATCAGACAAACTAGATTTTAAACCAAAGACTAATAAGGGATGAAGAAGCATACTACATCATAATAAAGGGGTCTATCCAACAAGAAGACCCAACAGTTGTAAATATTTATGCTCCCAAGTTGGGAGCACCCAAATATATAAATCAACTAATAACAAACTTAAAAAAACTCATTGATAATAATACAACAATAGTAGGGGACCTTAAAACCCCATTTATAGCAATAGATCATTTATGCCAAAGATCAACAAGAAAACAATGGCTTTGAATGACACACTGGATCAGATGGACTTAACAGATATATTCAGAACATTTCATCCTAAAGCAGCAGAATATGCATTCTTCTCGAGTGCACATGGAACATTCTCCAGAATAGATCACATACTGTGTCACAAATCAGCCTTCAACAAGTACAAAAAGATCATACCATGCATATTTTCAGATCACAACACTATGAAACTTGAAGTCAACCACACAAAAAATTCTGGGAAGACCAAAAATACAGGGAGGTTGAAGAACATCCTACTAAAGAATGAATGGGTCAACCAGGAAATTAAAGAGGAAATTTTTTAAAAATATATGGAAGCAAAAGAAAATGAAAACATGACAATCCAAAACCTTTGGGATGCAACAAAGGTGGTCATAAGAGGGAATTATATAGTGTTGCAGGCCTTCCTCAAGAAACAAGAAAAGTCCCAAATACACAACCTAATTTTACACTTAAAGGAGCCAAAAAAGAACTGCAAATAAAGCCTAAAACGAGCAGAAGAAAGGAAATAATAAAGATTAGAGCAGAAATAAATGATATATAAATTTAAAAAAAGTAGCACAGATCAATGAAAGTAGGACCTGGTTCTTTGAAAGATTTAAAAAAATTGCTCATTTTCATTGATAAACCACTAGCCAGACTCATCAAAAAGAGAAAGGACTTAAATAAATAAAATCATGAATGAAAGAGGGATCATAACCAACACCACAGAAATACAATTATAAGATAATATTAAGAAAAAATTATATGCCAACAAATTGGGCATTCTGAAGAAAAGGATAAATTCCTAGAAACACATAAACTACCAAACTGACTAAAATTAAGAAGACAGGGAACAACAAATGTTGGTGAGGATGTAGAGAAAGGGGAACCCTCTTACACTGTTGGTGGGAATGCAAGTTGGTACAGCCAGTCTGGAAAACAGTATGGAGGCTCCTCAAGAAGTTCAAAATAGAGCTACCCTATGACCCAGCAATTGCACTCCTGGGTATTTACCCCAAAGATACATATGTAGTGAAATGAAGGGGCACCTGCACCCCAATGTCCATAGCAGCAATGTCTACAATAGCCAAACTGTGGAAGGAGCCGAGATGTCCTTCAACAGATGAATGGATAAAGATGATGTGGTTCATATATACAATGGAATATTACTCAACCATCAGAAAGGATGAATACCTACTATTTACATTGACATGGATGGAAGTGGAGGGGATTATGCTAAGTGAAATAAGTCAATCAGAGAAAGACAATTATCATATGGTTTTACTCATATGTGGAACATAAGGAATAACGCAGAGAACCATAGGGGAAGGGAGGGAAACCTGAATGGGAAGAAATCAGAGAGGGAGACAAACCATGAAAGACTCTGGACTCTGAGAAACAAACTGAGGGTTGCTGGAGTGGTGGGAGGTGGGAGGGAGGGGGTGGCTGGGTGATAAACACTGGGGAGGGTATGTGCTATGGTGAGTGCTGTGAATTGTGCAATACTGTTGAATCACAGATCTGTACCTCTGAAACAAATAATGCAATATATGTTAAGAAAAAAAAAAAGAAGATAGGAGGAGCGGAAGAATGAAGGGGGGGAAATCGGAGGAGGAGATGAACCATGAGAGATAATGGACTCTGAAAAACAAACTGAGGGTTCTAGAGGGGAGGGGGGTGAGGGGATGGGTTAGCCTGGTGATGGGTATTAAAGAGGGCACGTTCTGCGTGGAGCACTGGGTGTTATGCACAAACAATGAATCATGGAACACTACATTAAAAACTAATGATGTAATGTATGGTGATTAACATAACAATAAAAATGAAAAAAAAAGAAAAAAAACCCTCAACAAATAGGGATAGAAGGAACATACCTCAACATCATAAAGACATATATGAAAGACCCACAGCAAATATCATCCTCAATGGGAAAAAAAACTGAGAGCCTTTCACCTACAAGCAGGAACAAGACAAGGATGCCCACTCTTACTATTACTACTTAACATAGTACTGGAAGTCTTAGCCTCAGCAATCAGACAACAAAAAGAAATAAAAGGCATCCAAATAGGCAAGGAAGAAGTCAAATTTTCACTCTTTGTAGATGACACAATACTCTCTGTAGAAAACCCAAAAGACTCCACCAAAAAATTGCTAGAACACATGAATTCAGCAAAGTTGCAGGATACAAAATCAATGTGCAGAAATCTGTTTCATTTCTATACACCAATAATGAAGCAGCAGAAAAAGAAATCAAGGAATCAATCCCATTTGCAATGGCACCAAAAACAATAAGATACATAGGAATAAACCCAACCAAAGAGTTAGGAGATCTGTACACTGAAAACTAATGAACACTTATGAAAGAAATTGAAGAGGACACAAAGAAATAGAAAAACATTCCATGCTCATAGGGTAGAAGAACAAACATTGTTAAAATGTCTATACTACCCAAAGCAATCTACACATTTAATGCAATCCCTATGAAAATACCTCCAGCATTTTTCACAGAGCTAGAACAAAACATTCTAAAATTTGTATGGAACCATGAAAGTCCTGGAATAGCCAAAACAATTCTGAAAAAGAAAAACAAAACTGGCGGCATCACAATTCCGGACTTCAAGCTCTATTACAAAGCTGTAATCATCAAGACCCTATGGTACTAGCAAAAAAACACACATAGATCAATGCAACAGAACAGAACAGACGACCCAGAAATGGACCCACAACTATATGGTCAACTAATCTTTGACAAAGCAGGAAAGACTATCCAGTGGAAAAAAGACAGTGTCTTCTGGTGTTGGGAAAACTGTACAGCAACATGCAGAAGAACAAAACTGAACCATTTTCTTACACCGTACACTAAAATAAACTCAAAATGGTTGAAAGACCTAAATGTGAGACAGGAAACCATTAAAATCCTAGAGAAGAACAAAGGCATCAACCTCTTTGACTTTGGCTGTAGCAACTTCTTACTAGACACATCACCGGAGGCAAGGGAAACAAAAGCAAAAATGAACTATTGGGACTTCATCAAGATAAAAGGCTTTGCACAGTGAAGGATTAGTTTTGTAAATTAATTTCTTTGTTCTAAGAAAATGCACATTGAAGTATTTAGGGACAAAGGGGTATGACATCGGCAACTAGTTCTCAAATGGTTCAGGAAAAAAATTAAATTCATACATCTGCATACTTGCCATTTCAGTACAGCTCATCATATATTATAATGCATTTATCTCATTGTGATCATATTGCTGATCATACTAAACTAATGGCCAACTAAGATCTCACCTAGCCAGCAGGTTGCTCCTAACTGGAATTTCAGGCTGATATGTGCTCAGGGTTTTCAAAACAAAAGCATGCTTCCCAGATATGCCTGGGCCACACCTCCTGTTCAGGCAGGGATTGGTATTTTGTTACCAGAAATGGGCTTGGCCAAATATTGTGGTATAATACCCTATATGCATTTAGCTAAGTAAAATTCAGAATTTTCCAAAACCATACCAGAGAGATTGACCATAAAATGAAGGGTTAGAACTAATTTCTAGTGCTCAGAAGGATGAAACCCAACTTTGCACTAAACTCACTGGTCAGTAGAGTGCTGAAGGTACCTTAAAAATCTTTTTAGATGACAATAACCAAGAAAAGGATCTTAAAATAGTAACTGACCTCCAAGCCCAGGTCGTAGTCGGTTATCATAGCCATCCAGAAGACGGTCTAAAATTCTGGTGAATATGGTGATGTTGTCAGTGCTGTCATCAGGAATATCTGGGGCATGCTTAGGAGAGAGTCTGAGACAGTGGAAGAAAAAGAGATAAAAAATAATATTCTTCATAGGAAACAATTACATGTGTAATTACTTTAAGAAGATTTCAATCAATAGAGTGGGCCAAATAAATAGCCCTGTATCTTAACCAAATCAGCACTTCCTATTCATCACAATGATTATCTGTGTAAAAGGCAGGTGGTGGTCACTATGCTTGAGGCCTTACTCCAGCTTTGTCAAGAGGTTAACCAAATGTGCTCCAGCTCCAGCCCAGTAGTTAAGAAACACAAGCAGAAATTAACAGAATGTGCCTGTGAACAGTACCCATCATAAAGTTATTCACCAAGGGGCACCTGGGTGGCAGAGTCGGTTAAGTGTCCAACTCTTGGTCTCAGCTCAGGTCGCAATCTCAGGGTCATGAGATTGAGTCCTGGGTTGGACTCCATGCTCAGCATGGAGTCTCCTTAGGACTCTCTCTCCTTTGCCCCGCCCCAAAATAAATAAATACATCTTTATAAAGAAGCTATTCACCAAATTTTGCTGCATGAATGAACAGTCCACAAAATTAAAAAAAGAAAATTGTGTTACAAAGAACTTATCCCTCTTCTAGCCTAGAGAAGCATAGGCTCACAGAACAACAGAGCCAGATTGTTGAAGTGCATTTAGTCTACCTACCTCCCACCTATGGAGATAGGGCAACAAAACAATAGTACTCCATTAAATGTTAAAGCTACCAGGACTCTTAGGAGATTCTCTAATTTTTCTCATTTTATACATGGGGAAATAAGCTCGAAGAGGACACCACCAAATTTGCCCCCAATCATATTGCTAGTGAGAGGCTAAAATAGGACTAGAATCCAAGTTTTCTAATTTTCTATTGACCCTCAGCTACCTCCTGATTATCCAGTTTGGATGCCTTCTGTAAGTCTTTCCAAGCACTAGGCACTTTGATAACCACCTACTCAGGTCCAGGCTGACTGATATTTTCACTTTGTGAGGAGGGGCTTGTTGTGGTTTCACAGGACTAAAAATGAAACTCTCTGCGTAATTTAGGAGAAAAGATGGTATAGTGAAACAGATGGCTGTTGCCAAGGATCAAGAAACATAGTGTAGAATCAATTAATAAACTAGGAGTCAGGAATTCTGGGTTCTACTGCCAGCTGTATTCATGATTTGAAGTAGACCATTAAGCAAGTTACACTATTGTATCTCTATTCTTACCTTGGACCCAGAAGGTTTCCATTAATAGATATAACTGTTCCTAGCAACCAGTTAGTCAAGTGTATAAAAAACATAAAATAACAGTTGAGAAGGAGTCCTAAGAGAGCGTCAATATGTCTTCCCACAAATATTTATTCTTAGTGGCTATAAAGGTTCCTTTTATGAAAAAAGATCCTGAGAAAAGTCTACATAATAAAAACATCAAAAGTGAACAGTTCTCACTCTAAACTGCCACTCCAGCAGATAACCTTGGAAAAGTCATTTTAGACCTCAATTTCCTTAATTCGTAAGCCTAATTCAATTCACTTAATCATTCAATACATCTTTATTGAACATCAACTATGTGCCTCTGTTTAGGTATTGTGATAGAGCATAAAAAAGGTAAAACAAGGTGAGTAATCTTTCCTTGCTCACAGGGTTGCTGAGACAATCAAATGATAACATAGATACACATGGAAGGAAAAAGGGAACTTGGCTTAAAGAGTCTAGACACATACATTTGAATTTATTAGTGTGACCTTAGGCAAGTCATATAACACCTCTAGTAATAGCTTTCTCATCTTTAAAATTAAAATAATTTTTAATTATTTTAATTTTAAAATAAAATTTGGCTATCACAGATAAGTTGTATTAATAATATATTAAAATTGCCAGGCTTAATGTTTAATATCTGGAAGTATTCACAGTTTTTTTTTTCTGAAATAGTACTGTATGCACTTGAATGCATTATACAAATGCAAATAGTAACAAAAAATATTGGCACCCCCATCAGCCAAAAGACAAAAAACTTTGGCCAGAGAGGCACTAGAACCCAGTGAAGAATAGAGATGATTGGCTGGGTTAGTGGACAGAGCACTAGAAGTGATACAGATACCTCACTGGGGAAGGGGAAGAAAGGAGGGAACTACACTGCAGAGCTAACAAACTGACATTAACATGTTGAAGAGATAAATACAGACACCCTTCAGGTGAAGCCCACACTTAGTTCAATCCACCAATATTCTGAATCCACCTTACATAGGCTGTGGAGAGAGAGGCTCAACTGATTTTGTTCACACCACTTACTCATTATCCCTTAACTTTCACCGTGGGGACCCTTAGCCCTGGTTAGCCTAATTCAATTTCTGGGATATAGATCTATAAATTCCTTGATTATTGAAAGCAGATAGAAAGGAGAATCCTCACAGAGTTATAGATTAGCTATAAAGGGCTTCAGAGATTATATTCACTCCAGGTGGATTGATAGATGGGAATTCTAAACCCCCCGAACATAATTTTTTAACTGCCCTGAATGTTAATGGGAAAGCTAAAATTTGGAACTAGAATTACTGAATATGAGATATACTATATACTATGCCACCTCTTTTACTGAAATACTAACTTCCATGACTGCATTTCCATTCCTTGCTGATGTGTTGATTATGCTAGCAGCATTCTACACTAATAACTTATAAACTTTTAAGTAAAAAAAGTCAATGCTATTAAATATCACTCCAAAACAACTTTCAATAGGTTTCTCTGTGATTTTGCACTTGGCTACTAATCATTTTTTCTCCTAATGTGCACTAAATTATTGTATGGAGAGCTGGAAGGTTTACTCTAGAACCCAAGTCAGAATTCTCTCTTCTTCAGTAATTCAACTGCAACAAGATGAAAATTCTGTAGTTTGTTCCAATCCAAAGTAGTTTAGGGGAACAACAAAGACTCATGGTATGTCAGGATTATGGAGAGCCTTAGAGATCATACAATTATTTTTTCCCACTTTACAGATGAAGCACCTAAGACACTGGTAAGAGAAAGAAATTGTTCAAAGCCACATGCTTATTAAGTTGATAAAACTGATGCGGCCATGCCTATTTTGCCTCATATTTGTTATTACCAATTAGGTTTAATATTAATAATCCATCATTTAAACATGAAAATAATGTTACTAATATGCTACATATAGGTAAGGCAGGCTTAGTCATTTTTTAGATCTAAAGATGGAATAGTACTAAGTCCATAGAGAATGAACAGAGTTTTAGTCCTGGCTCTGCCATTAACTGATTGTGTAACCTATATCCTTACATGTAAAATGGGGATAATAATATCCTATCTTAGAACGTTTTTGGAAGAAATAAGTAAATAAGATAACAAAAATTTGCTTCATAAATGGTAAAGCTCCATATACACTGAGGTTGTTTCTCTGCCATCCCCACCAACTTCTGAAAATGTAATGAGACACCTTTGCAAGACAGGCACTTTATATTTAGTTATTTTTCTGAAGTTTTGTTTTGTTCTTTCAGTTGGAGCGTATTCCTCTGTCTCCTCATTTTGCTTGACTTTCTGTGTTTGTGTCTATAAATTAGGTGGAATAGCTACTTCTCCTAAATTTGAAGGAATGTCCTTGGGTAGGGATGTCCCCTTTATAGACTGCATGGGCCTGATGGCTTTGGCTGGCTGGCTGGTGCTCTAGGAAGTGTGGGCTGGGGATCCCAGGGCACTCTGAGCTGAGGCCACCCTGGTAGGGTATCCGGAACTGAAGTGGGCATGAACCAGAGGGGAGTCCTGTGGCTCTCCATACAGATGGCACCCTGGCAAGACAGCTGAAGTGGGAGTAAGCTGGGGGGAGGGTTTCTCAGGGCATTCCATACAAAGGGCACCCTGGCAAGATGGTTGGAGCTGAAGTGGGCATGGGCCTAAGTGAAATAAGTCAGACAGAGAAAGACAAATATCATATGATTTCACTTATATATGAAATCTAATGAAAAACAAGTGAACAAACAAAAAAACAGAAACAGAACCATAAATACAGAGAACAAACTTGTGGTTGCAGGGGGGAAAGGGGTGTGGGGATGGAAAAAATAGGTGAAGGGGGTTAAGAGGTACATACTTGCAGTTATAAAATGAATAAGTCATGGGGATAAAAAGTACAGCATAGGGAATATAATCAATAACATTGTAATAATATTACATGGTGACAAATGGTAACTATACTTATCCTGGTGAGCATAGCTTAATGTATAGAACTGTCAAATCACTATGTTGTACACCTGAAACTAATATAACATTGGATGCCAACTATATTTCAAATTAAAAATGTATAGGGCGCCTGGGTGGCTCAGATGGTTGAGCGTCTGCCTTCGGCTCAGGTCATGATCCCAGGGTCCTGGGATCGAGTCCCGCATCGGGCTCCCTGCTCCTTGGGAGCCTGCTTCTCCCTCTGCTTCTCTCTCTCTCCCTCTCTCTCTCTTCCTCTGTCTCTCATGAATAAATAAATAAAATCTTTAAAAAAATGTATAATTAAACCTTAGTCTTTTAAAAAAATAATTTCTGTTCAAGGAAATATACCTCAATAAATGTATTAATATAAAAAAAGAAATACAGGCACTTCTATGCTATGGGGCAATACTAAAATCATTAAACAACCTGGAATTAAACCCAGCATAGTGGTAGTAACATTATTTCAACTACATTGAGGTCCTAGGTATATTTATGTTGAGGGAGAAACAGGAGAGGCACAGATGGAGCTGCTGATACAGTTCATACAACAACCCAAATTTACTTCATTAAAAGGATGTCATTGTCCCTAATACTGTATATCTTCTGGGAGAGAACAGATTTTTAAAAATAAAACAAATTTAAGGAGATAAGATGGTGGAGGAGTAGGGAACCCTAAGTTCATTTGGTCCCTTGAATTCAGCTAGTTATCAAATCATTCTGAACACCTGAAAATCAATTGGAGATCTGAGAAAACAAAAGCTGCAATTCTACAAATAGAAAAGTGACCACTTTTTGGAAGGTAGGAGGTGCAGAGACTTGAATCCGGAGTGCTATGTCAGAGGATACGGCGGAGGGGAAGGAGCCAGTTTAAGGAGGCTACTGCAAAGTATTATAAACAACATAGTACAAAATTGGAACTTTTAGAAGTCTGCTACAGTGGAGGACATCCATAGCTTAAAGGTGCTCAGGTGGTGAAGTGGAGTGGAATCCCACATATAACAGTGTGGTCTCAGGATGCCCGGGGTCACAAGAAGAATTGAGGTGTCTGAGTGCAGCAGAGCTCCCAGAAGTGGGGAAGCCAGCTGAAAACAGTGAGTCTAGGTTTTCTAGACTGTGTCTCTAGACAGGGGCCCAGCAAAAGGCAGAAACATAGTGAGGCTCCCCACCTCCCCTGGAAGGAACAGCTTGGGTCCATGCCAGAGGAGTCTGGAAATTTTTGAGACTTGAAACTCAGTTCGTGGCTGAATAAAAATGCTCAGTCACAGGATGGGTGAACACAGTTCAGACAGAAACCAAGGAGACAAGAGTGATTGACTGCTTTCCTGTGAGGGCTCACTGAAGAGTGGGGGGCACATAGTTTCAACTCCTGGGCTAGACATCAGGGCGCCGCCATTTTCATTCTGCCCATCCAGGCTGAAAACCTTTAAGGAGCAAAAGAGCGCCACATAGTGGTATCCAGAGCTGCTTACACTGAGTCCGGCCTCCTGGCTAGAGAGGCACATTTCCAGAACTGCAAGGGCACCTGACCAGCAGGAACAACTGGCTAGCCCCATGTTTACTGATCACAGAGAACTGCAAAGCTTCAGCTCTTCAAAACATATAGCATTGTGGCACTTTTTTTTTATTCTTTAGTCTTTCATTTGTATTTTTTCCAGCTATTTTTTATTTATTTATTTTTTATATATAGTATTTATAAATATATAGTATATATAAAATTATATATGTATAAATATATATGTATATATATACATACATATATACTATACATGTATAGTATTTATACGTATATATAGTATTTTTGGTTTACTTTCTTGTATTTTATTTTATTTTTTATGTATATAAGTATTTCTTTCATATTTTGGGATCTAGTTTCTTTTAATAAGCAGACCGAAATACACTCAGAATCTAGTTTTATCTTTTGTTCTGTTTTGTTTCTTGTTTAATTTTTTCTTATTTTCTATTGTTTTTGTTTTCTTCTTTTTTTTCTGTTGTTGTTGTTGTTATTGCTATTTTTTCTCTCTCTTTTCTATTCTTTTCTGGACAAAATGATGAGATGGAGAAATTTGCCCCAAAAGAAAGAACAGGAGGTAGTACTAACTGCCAGGGATTTAATTAATACAGATATAAGTAAGATGTCTGAACTAGAATTTAAAACAACGATTATAAAGACACTAGCTGGGCTTGAAAAGAACATAGAAGACACTAGAGAATCCCTTACTATAGAAATAAAAGAACTAAAATATAATCAGGCCAAAATTAAAAATGCTATTACTAAGATGCAGCCCCAAATGGAGGCTCAGAAAGCAAGGATAAATGAAGCAAATGAGAGTCAGTGATATAGAAGATAAAATGATGGAAAATAAGGAAGCTGAAAAGAAGAGAGTAAGGCAAATACTGGATCACAAAGGGAGACTTCAAGAATTCAAATCTGAAAAGTGAAATAATATCTGGAAAATATAGATTCCAGAAGATGAAGAGAGGGAGAAGGGGGCAGAAGTTTTATTTGAACAAATTATAGCTGAGAACTTACCTAATCTGGGGAAGGAAACAGGCATTCAAGTCCAGGAGGCACAGAGAACCCCCCTCAAAATCAACAAAAAAGGTCAACACCTCGACATACTGAAGCTTGCAAATTACAGATAGAGAGAAAATACTGAAAGCAGTTTAGGACAAGAGGTCCTTAACCTACAGGGGTAGAAACAAGGCTGGCAGCAGACCAGTCCACAGGGACCTGACTGCCAGAAAGGACAAGCATGATATATTCAATATGCTAAATGGGGAAAATGTGTAGCCAAGAATACTTTATCCAGAAAGGCTGTCATTCAGAACAGGACAGATGAAGAGTTTCCAGAACAAAGAAAAACTAAAGGAATTTGTGCACACCACACCAGCCCTGCAAGAAATGTTAAAGGGGACTCTTTGAGGAAAGAGAGAGCTCAAAAGTAACAAAGACCAGAAAGGAACAGAGATAAAGTACAAGAACATAATTTTACAGGCAATACAATGGCACTACCTTCATATCTTTCAATAATTACTCTGAATGTAAATGGACTAAATGCTCCAATCAAAAGACATAGGGTTTCAGAATAGACTTTTTAAAAAAACAAGATTGATCAATGTGCTGCTTACAAGAGACTCATTTTAGACCCAAAGACACCTACAAATTAAAAGTGAGGGGGTAGAGAACTATTTATTATGCTAATGGACATTAAAAGAAAGCTGGAATAGCAATCCTTATATCAGACAAACTAGATTTTAAATTAAAGACTATAGTAAGAGATGAAGAAGGACACTATATCATAACAAAGAGTCTATCAAACAAGAAGATCTAAAAATGCAAATATTTATTCCCCTAATGTGGGAGGAGCCAAATATATAAATCAATTAATAACAAAATTAAAGAAACACATTGATAATAATACAGTAATAGTAGGGGACGTTACGACCCCATTCACAGCAATAGACAGATCATCTAAGCAGAAGATCAACAATGAAACAAGGGCTTTGAATGACACACTGGATCAGATTAACATAACAGATATATTTAGAACATTTCATTCTAAAGCAACAGAATACACATTCTTTTCAAGTGCACATGGAACATTCTCCAGATTGGATCACATACTGGGTCACAAATCAGGTCTCAACTGGTACAAAATGATTGAGATAGTCCATACATGTTTTCAGACAACAATACTTTAAAACTTGAAGTCAACTACAAGAAAAAATTTGGAAGGACCATAAATACATGGAGGATAAAGAGCATCCTATTAAAGAATGAATGGGTCAATCAGGAAATTAAGGATGAATTAAAGAACTACATGGAAGCAAAAGAAAATGAAAACAAAGCAAAAGAAAATGAAAACAAAGCAAAAGAAAATGAAAATGAAAATCTGGAAAAAGAACTGCAAATAAAGCCTAAATCCAGCAGAAGAGAAATAATAAAGAATAGAGCAGAAAACAAGGATATAGAAATAAAAAAATCAGTAGAACAGATCAAAAAACCTAGGAGCTGCTTCTTTGAAAGAATTAATAGGATTGATAAATCCCTAGACAGATGATTCAAAAAGAAAAGAAAAATATAAATAAAATCATGAATGAAAAAGGAGAGATCACAACCAACACCAAAGAAATACAATTATAAGGGAATGAGGAATTATATGCCAACAAATTAGGCAATCTGGAAGAAATAGATGCATTCCAAAAACATATAAACTACCAAAACTGAAACAGGATGAAATAGAAAAGCTGAACAGACCCATAACAAGCGAAGAAATTGAATCAGTAATCAAAAATCTCCCAACAGAGTCCAGGGTCAGATGGCTTCCCAGAAGAATTCTACCAAACACTTAAAGAAGAATTAACACCTATCCTTCTCAAATTGTTCCAAAAAATAAAAATGGAAGGAAAACTTCCAAACTCACTCTATGAGGCCAGCATTACCTTGATCCCAAAACCAGACAAATACTTCAATAAAATGGAGAATTACAATCCAGTATCCCTGATGACCATGAATGCAAAAGTTCTCACCAAGACACTAGCTAATCAGTTCCAACAGTACATTAAAAGGATTATTCACCACAACCAAATGGGATTTATTCCTGAGCTGAAGGGGTGGTTCAACATCCACAAATCAATGTGATACACTACATTAATAAAAGAAAGAAGAACCATATGATCCTCTCAATAGAGGCAGAAAAAGCATTTGACAAAATACAACATCCTTTCTTGATAAAACCCCTCCAGCATGTACGGATAGAGGGACCATATGTCAACATCATAAAGGTCATATATGAAAGACCCACAGCAAATATGATCCTCAATGGGGAGAAACTGAGAGCTTTTCCCCTAAGATCAGGAACATGATAGGGATGTCCATTCTTACCACTGTTGTTCAATATATCACTGGAAGTCCTAGCCTCAGCAATCAGACCACAAAAAGAAATAGAAGTCATCTAAATTGGCAAAGAAGTGAAACTTTCACTCTTTGCAGATGACACAATACTCTATGTAGAAAACCCAAAAGATTCCACCAAAAAATTGCTAATACTGATATAGGAATTCAGCAAAATCACAGGATATAAAATCAATGCACAGAAGTAACTTGCTTTTCTATACACTAACAATGAAACAGAAGAATGAGAAATCAAGGAATCAATGCCATTTACAATGGTACCAAAAACCATAAGATGCCTAGGAATAAACGTAACCAAAGAGGTAAAGAATCTGTACTCTGAATACTATAGAACACTTATGAAAGAAATTGAGGAAGACACAAAGAAATGGAAAAACATTCCAAACTCACGGATTGCAACAACAAATATTGTTAAAATGTATATGCTACACAAAGCAACCTACACATTCAATGCAATCCTTATCAAAATACCATCAACATTTTTCACAGAGATGGAACAATCCTAAAATTTGTATGGAACCAGAAAAGACCCTGAATAGCTAAAGGAATGTTGAAAAGGAAAATCAAAGCTGGAGGCATCACAATTCTGGACTTCAAGCTGTATTACAAAGATGTAACCATCAAGACAGTATGGTATTGGCACATGCAGACACATAGATCAATGGAAGCGAATAGAGAACCCAGAAATGTGCCCTCAATTCTATGGCCAACTAATCTTTGACAAAGTAGGAAAGAATATCCAATGGAAAAGACAGTCTCTTCAACAAATGGTGTTGGGAAAATTGCACAGCCATATGCAGTAGAATGAAACTGGACCACATTTCTCAAAATGGATCAAAGACCTAAATGTGAGATAGAAATGCATCAAAATCCTAGAGGAGAACACAGAAAGCAACCTCTTTGACTTTGGCTGTAGCAATTTCTTACTAGACAAATCACCGGAGGCAAGGGAACAAAAGCATAAATGAACTATTGGGACTTCATGAGGATAAAAAGCTTTTACACATCAAAGGAAATAGTCAACAAAACTAAAAGGCAACCTACAGAATGGGAGAAGATATTCACAAATGACATATCAAACTCAACACCAAGAAAACAAAAAATCCAGTCAAGAAAGGAGCAGAAGACATGAATAGACACTTTTCCAAAGAAGACATCCAAATGGCCAACAGACACGTGAAAAAATGCTCAACATTACTCAGCATCAGGGAAATACAAATCAAAAGCATGAGATACCATCTCACACCAGTCAGAATGGCTAAAATAAGCAACTTAGGAAACAAGAGATATTGGTGAGGATACAGAGAAAGGGGAACCCTCTTACACTGTTGGTGGGAATTCAAACTGGTGCAACCACTCTGGAAAACAGTATGGAAGTTCCTCAAGAAGTTAAAAATAGAATTACCATATGACCCAGCAATTGCCCTACTAGGTATTTATCCAAAGGATACAAACATAGTGATTTGAAAGGGCACATGCACCCCAACGTTTATAGCAGCAATGTCCACAATAGCCAAACTATGGAAAGAGCCCAGATGTCCATCAACAGATGAATGGATAAAAAAGAAGTGGTGTAGGGATTTGGAAGGAAAGATGGCAGAGGAGTAGGGGACCCTATTTCAACTGGTCCCCGGAATT